TATATACTTTACCGTACTTTAATAAAATAAGTAGATAATCTATAACAATACATATATTTTAAGGAATATCACTGCCAATTCATGAAATAAATTTATTTCTATGTATTAATTATTTATTTATTAAAACTTTAATGCACAAAAACATAAATAAAAGAGCACATGGCGGACTTCACACCTTGAGCCAATTATGTCATTTGTAGATGAATAAATAAACAAATTTCCTAAATTGTTAAATAACTTTTATTATTATTCTATTTAATTAGTTATAGTAGCAAGCAAGAAACGGAGCCCTACGTAATAAGTATAATCACAGTTCCGTATGTAGAATAAATATATTTAATTAAACAAAACAGCACCATAGATTACTGTGACATCTACTCGCATATACATAATATAGTTATTCTTCACTTTTAAGGACTATTTTTATATATTCCTTCTCTTTTTAAAAAGAAACAGTTTAATTTGAATATCTAAGTTTGCTACAATAGAAGTAGAATAAGATAAAGGAATTCGATTAAATTATAATTTGGTTATTTCCATAATGACATTTAGCTCCGGAACCCCTACGACGAAAAATGACTAAATTCTAAGAACGAAGTCCAAATAATGTTATTGTACTTCATCCATGGCTGACGTTTAGATTATCACTTATCGAACCGGAACTCCCCTAATACAACTAACATTTTTGTTTACAATTTCTAGGTAAATACTTTTTAATATAGCATTAAATAAAATAATATGTATGGTACCTATATTATTATAAATGACGTGGAGTTTGAAAATGTTGCCTGTGTTTCAGTTGATTTAAGGGTTGATATCAGGTAGTGAAGTTACAGGATAATTGGCATGAGATCTTAGCCCTCCGGAATTATAACCCATTAGCGGTATCAAGGGCATTACATGATAACGTGATGTTCGTAGTGCTGTTCATGTATTTACAGGCGGCGGTTACTTACAATTTGGTGGTCTTTAAAAAAAACTAATTCATTTATAATGAATTAGTTTTTTTTTTAATGACAATTTTGTTTAACGAATGATAGATCTCCAAGCAACTATCCTGAACCATCGGTTGTCAATTTTAACTGCCTATTTTGGATATGGTACTATCTGTATCTATATTACTTATGCATTTGCATATATATATATATTATTAGTTCACATATGCATCTACTTAGTAAGCTGTAATTTGTGTATCAAATTAAAAGGAGAGATGGTATTGAAATAATAATATTATCTCATCTGTGCTACCACCAAAAGGTTCCGGAATATCTTATTTAAAAATTTTCTACTTACTCGTATGTAAATAAATCTATCAAGTTGTATTATAACAACATTAAAATTGTTTGTAACAACTTAATTTAAATTTATTTCTTTAATTAAAAAATAAATATGCCTGAGGATGCTGTATCAAAACCGGTTGCATTTATAAATCGCATTAAAAAGAAATAAAGTAGGGCTCAGTACAAGCATTTTAAATTACAATACAACCTGTATAATGAAATTCCATCAAGAAGTTAAAGAACAATCTGTGAATAAATAAATCACTTTTTAATAAATAAATATGTTTTTTTTATTTTCAATGAATTTATTTGGATTGCGAATATTATTACAAGTAATTGTATAGTGATTTATAATCCCGATTAACACCCGGCTAAGAGTTTAAAGCTGTCAGATATAAAAAAAACATTTTATGTCATTAATTGACGATTGATATTTTTTTAAATCGGACAACTAAGCACACCATCTAAGGGATTGTTAGTTTTGGGAATATTGACATATATCGACATCGTGGTTAATTAATGATTAAACTAACGTGATTACATGCTCATTCTACCGTCCTCCACTAGTACCACGCTGCCTAAACCGTTAGCGCAGGCGGGTAGAACATTTCATAACAATTTATTAAAAAAAAAGCTTCGATGAAGGATTCAGAGTTAACAAACTCAAAATTAATTCAAGAGATTGCAGTAACACTGCGATACATTGATGTTAATATGCACAACGAAATGTATGTGATAACTGTCATGATAGTATTATCTATACATATGTTTGAATTTATTTCATAAAATTACAGGATAAAAGGAATGACATATCAGTTGTTTGGAATGGCAACGAATAAGTATAATAGTATCACGGATGTCATATGATAACGTGATAGTGCTGTTCATGTATATAAGCGATTATTACCGCTTACTGTCTACTACTGTTTAGCCGTGGGCTTATATTTCATTTCAATTATATAAAAAAAATATAAAACTCATCTACATATAATAATGTTCAATTTATACACAAATACATCATAATTTCTGTTATTGTATTTGTGATAGTTTGTAGGCATTTGATAATTATATTTTGAGACGATTGAGTTCAGAAATGTAGGCAGCGGATTTGCAAGTAATTGTTTTGATTACCCTTCAACTCTACAAATAAGCTGGGTTGTGACAGCTGTTGCCTCTGTTTGTATTAAATTTACTATAGTTCTAAATAATGATGACTATAAGAAGTGAAAATTAACAGGTTTAAAAGAGTCATTAGGTCGTTGAATTATGGTATAATAATTTTCTCTCACATCAGTTGCATTATGTAAGGATATGTTATTTATACCAAGGCAGTAGTAGCGGGTTACACACTAGGCTTTGGTACAAAAATAAACAGCATTACTGAGTATGATTGTTAATGTAGGTCTATTTTTGTATGCGTTTATATGTTTTTTACTGAAAAAAATTGTATTTGTACTGTAGAATATTTTGTTAATGGATGAAAACAAGAAGAAAATATATTTAGAGTTGTTTTTGAGATTATCGCGAACATACAGACAGATATAGCTGTATTGTTATATAATATATATTATTATATAGACAAAAGGCAATATATAAATTTATTCATAATTACAATTGTTTCAACGAAATGAGTAGCGTATTACGTATTACTTTACTTTGGAATATTGCCGCAACCTTAAGTAGATATTGTATGAATCAAACATGTAATGTATAATTGTGCGACATGAATCAATGTACTTTATTGTCTGGTTCTATTTAATGGCACTACGTTGGTCTGCCCACGTTCAAATAGAACAGTAAATATTGAAACAGCTCAATTATTATATAATAATGAAGCTGTAATTTATGTAATTGGAATAGCAAAGAATCTGACGGCGTACCTGAAGTGGTATACGTGATCTATATACATGAATAGCACTACAGACATCATGGTAATATATGATGCCATGCCTTGCCATTCTGAAGGACTGGAATGGAAGGATATTATGCCTGATATCCTGCAATTGCACTGCTTTATCTTATACATCTTTTTCAACTGAAACACAGCTTATTACTGCTTCACGGCTGAAATATGCACACAGATGTACCTACACAGGCCACTTTTTAAGGCAAATGCCTTGAGAACAGACAAAAACTTAAAACTTGTGAAAGTTTGTATTTACATATGAATATCGGTTAATTAATGGATTTGAATCAGGTACATCCTAATTCGTGAGAGCAATCTGTCGTAAATTAGAGCTAGTTCTTGATGATCTCAATAAATAAAAATTTACATTGACTTACAAAGACTCTAGATGGTCTAGAATTGGTTTGTTTATTGACAATTGAATTATCTGTTGTTTATCTATTTAGTTTCGCCCTCGGTTTCTAACGAAGCGGGCAGAGAGGGTCGACTGATTTTTATCCTAATACACTGTAATATAATATAAAATAATGGTTTGATAATATATCTATAAATAATAATATCTTTCAGTATAACGATATTTATAATTTATCTTGACAATTTTGTATAAAATGTGATACAAAATCATTCATTCATCAAATCTTACACATTATATAAATATATATATATACAAATAGTCGTATTGATATTCAGCTAAGTTTATATTTTAAAAATAATTTTAAAATAGAATAAAAATTTCTTCACCATTCTATTTAGTTCAGTCAAGAATCTGGTATTTCCGTGGACTTTGCCACTAATCCAATGTACCTATATTCATTTTAAAAAGTACCGCACTTCTAAGGAATCGTAACATAATAAAAAGGTCTACATATCGAATGAAACTGCGTAAAACATGTAGAATGAATGTTAAAGGTTCAAAAGAAAATATTCCAAGAAATGATGATGACAGATCAAGAATTTTAGAGAATTATATGTTAATATTAATGTGAATACTACCGACGCATATGTACCCTATGAATTTATTATAATATTAACGATATAATAAATTTAAAATATACAAGATCGACAATCAGTCAGAGACATTAATAAAATAGAAACATGTATATTAACAAGTTAAAGCTTTCATACCGTGCTATTTATAATGCAGAATACATGCAATTCCACATTAAACTTTCTACCAGTGCAAAATTCCGTAGCTCGTGCGAAAATAATAATTTATAGGAAATTCCGTTCATTAATTTTTCTGTTGAATAAAACAGAATATTTTATGTTAAGTGTTATAGAAGTAATATTACTTTATTAATAGTGAAATTTCGTGTACCACCCAGACAGGAATGCAGTCGGTAGGAATGATCAACAAGTTATCTCTGATAAATAATGTTTACAATTCATGGTGTCGAGTAGGTCATCTCGTTCATAAGTAAAATAGGATGGAAATTAAAAGAAAATAGTTTTAATTCTAATGTACTATATATGACAAAACTTACTTCCTACTACTATAACGACGAGAAAGTAGATACAACCATATTACAAGCCATTCTATAACGGATATTACTATTTAGTACCATTAAGTTTCAGGAGATAATACCGTTTTCCAGTTATGATAAGTAATCGTAGAATTGTATCTTTTAGACGTGACACGGATACCTAAATATTTTGAACGGACAATGGCATGCAGGAATGATAAAAAATGCGTATATTTGTGTATGTTTGAGTGTATGTGACGCACGAAACGCGTGTCCCGCACAAGAGATGTGTTGATGTTGCAAGCATATAAAAACGAAGCGGCAGATTTCGAAATGAACACAACGATTTGAAATCCTCTAAGGAGTGCACACGGACATATCAAGTGCCATCGTGAAATTATTTCCGCATTGTGATCGCGTTCGATACGAGTGAAGTGAATAGCTATAGCGTTTCGAGGTGTTACAATTTTTTTCGAGCAGATTTTCGCAGTGTTACCATGATGCTTTATTACGCTGTACGTATTAATTTAGCCAAATTTTGTTATTTTTAAATAATGTACTTATTCCCTGTTCCAAAATAACCTATATTAATATTTTTTAAAGAAAGACCATATTTTTTAATAATTTATTTTTATTCTAAAAAAATATTTTAAATATTTCATTAAATTAGAATGGAATAGAATATATTTATTATAAACTAGAATAAATATAGAAGTAAATAAATAAAAAAACATGAGTTTAATGATGTTTTCCCTATGTAGTGCATCATATCAGTTTGCGCCGTAGCAGTCGTAGCCTTACCGAGTGCAGATGGCAGATGGCATCCCAATAAATTTGGCGACAATGGAAAGTAAGTATATAATAAAAAATATACTTTGTTTGACCATAACAATTTTAAATACCGAAAATTAAGTATTAAATTTATATATTTTCCGATTAAGTATAAGCACAAAATGCCTACTTATATGAAATATTATATTTATTTCTTAGTTTTTATTTAATCATAGTAATAAATATTCTGAAAATATATCAGATCTATTATAATATTAAAATCTACTTATATACATATATTTTAATTAAAATACTATTTAATAATTTTATTTGATTATATATTTTTGATGAAGAAATGTTGTCTCCTGCTCATAAAAAATATCACTATAACAATACTGGTCTAACTTTAACTAATTAATAGGTATAGAATTTTCCATTCAAATGAAAAGAATTAGTATAATAAGCATACAGTTCTTTTCAATATTTATTATATAACTTTTTGTTAAAAATACCCTTGTGATATACCATCAAATATTATTATTAGTCGAGAGAAAATAACAAATAGACATACATATTCAATTTCACATTTACAATATTAGCATGGATGTGTATGCAATAATAAGATTATTAATGCAATTAAAGTTGGTAGTATCAACTGCAGTCTCGTTTCCGAGATGAATACGTTGTTGTGTTTAGATCCAAAGAGTAAATAAACAGTGCTGCCGCAATGACAACAAACTTAAGTTAAATTACTAAAACCTGCTCACCAAAACTTACCAAACATATTAATTATTACTTTCACATAGATTTCCGAGAAATTAATATATTAAAACTCAAAAGAGGTCATTGAAGAATATTACTTTATGGACTACAATTTATTTAAATTATATGAGTAATGTTTTGCAATTAAAAACTTGGTAACTGTATACTATATAAAAAATAATTTATCGAGAATGAAGACGGCATAAAGACATTAATTTGTTTGCATGTACATATAGAATACAAATATTATAAATGCAAAAATCTCTATCTATTCGTTACCCTTAATAAAAATATACAACGACTAAATAGATTTTAAGGAAATTTTACAGGAATATGCATTGTATTATGGATGAACATAGGCAATCTGTGTTCTAAATAAATTTGGGAGGAATTCGTAAATAGTAGCAATAAATAGTACTATATTTTTTCCATTCTTCTTTTTACAGATACATTCCGTCAAACGAAGGTAAATACGTCCATGTACCAAATCCCTACATCCATATCAACAATCCTTACGATGGTGGTTACGGACCCTACACACATGATTACGAGCCCTACGTCGGGGAGGCTACAGTAGATCAGTACAGACATGTGCTTACACCACCTGATGAGTTGCTGCCCTATTACAAAGAAGGATATTACAGGAATAACGGTATCAAGATTATCAGACAGAATCACAACTACAATGAAGATAAATACGACTTCGAGTAAGTGTTTCATTATGTTCATATACCAATACATCGATAGTTTACAATGCCTCTGACTACCCCATCGTGTTGTATATTTTATTATTTACCAGATTTTACCCTCAACGTCGGTTCTTGTTTATTAGTTAAAGATAGCTGATAATCGTATGCAATTTATCTTTGTATCCAATTTCATTATTTAGCCGTTTAGATGTAGAAACGTAACAAACAATATATTGATATGGATCATGATATTCCATGGTTTCCTTCTTCAGGAAATAAACTACTGCATAATTATCAAAATCCATTTTTACCATCTATTATCCAAATTTTTACCTCTGACTACCTGACTTAGGACTTACAATAGTTGAAGTTTAATGGCAATCGAAACAAAATAGAGTCGAATAGATAATAATATTATTTTATTAATACTTATATTTTTTAGTCACATTATTATTTGAGTATATTTCCAGAATTGCAAATAAATTCTTAAGATACCCGTATTTTAGATTTTATTTCAATTCGATTGTCCACAAAAGTTAATCGGCCAGGGGAATAACAGTGTGCAGATAAAAAATATAGTCAAATTAAGAACCTTTTTCGGTCGGAATTCGGTTTAAAAACTCGATGTAATCTGTTGCAGTATATTATACAGTTATTGTTTTTTTTACATTTAACATTTTATACAACTTAGTCGAATTTAAATACATTATTTAGGGTTAAGATCATCTTAACCCTAAATAATGTATTTAAATTATTATAAAATATATACCTATACATAGATTAATAAACATATATATACATTTATATACATACTTATAATATTATAAGTATGTATATAAATTTATTTTAATAATTACAAATTCACTCCTATGCACTATACATACGTTTCTATAAATTGTCTTCTTAACATTTAAAATTTGATTTTTCTATATTTATTCTTAATTTCATTAAAAAATATTCCTTAAGTATATCCACAACTACATTGTATATGTATTCGTCTATAGAACATAACCTTGTTCAATTTAGAGTTTGACAGAAGGCATGGAAAGTCACGCCTTTTAAATCTAAGATACTTCCGTACGTCATGTTCATCCGTTTATATGTCAATATGTTTTATTTATAGAATTGATGACCTCAAAAACTTTGTGCATTGAATAACGAAAACAATTTACTGTGGAATACATCAGGTCATTCAATTCAAAAATTTTGTCTATGTCAGGTCTTCTTTTTTTTTTTTTTTAATATAAAATATAATAAATTTTAGTCCCTTTCAACCAACCGTTGGAAAAAGATGAATCTCTTTATATTATACACATATTTCCTGAAATGTTTTTAAAGTGATCTCTTCGTTAATTATAAACCGACTTTAATTATTTTTATATCTGCAGAATGTGTTTTATAGTTTTGACATAAAAACTAAAATTATTTGTTTACATAAATATTAGCTCCTCACAGAACCTTTGATTTTAATTAAATAATGCAATTTGTTTAATATATTACACCTTAAAGCTGTAGAGAATTTTGAATTACAGAATGAGGTCTTTGTTTTATACTTTATTGTTTCCAACCTGGATGAGTATCCCTCTGTAAACTAAAAAAGAAAAGATTTTCCAGAATGAAAATATTCTACGGACAGAACTTGAGAATATTTGTTGACTTAGAAACTTGAATTTTATTCATTCACTGCAATCGCGTTGACGACTTAATATTAAATACTTATGTGGTTTGTAATATAAATTTCCTGTCTCTTACTGCGGTTAGCCTTGCTTTGCTGAATGTCTTATCGTAGAAATTTGCATTCAAGAAACTTTATTACAATTCACTGTTATAAATTTTAATCATTTTAATTTTAGACAGTTATTAAAAGTTGTAAAGTCCGTGATATCTCTAGAATGGTATCTTTGAATCTAGGTATTCCATTTTATTCATATAACTATATAAAACTAGATGGTTTTAATCTAAGAATAAATCTAGAAGTAGGTTAATTCTCAACGTATTAATATAAAGATTAAAATAATTTTTCCTGTCGCAAGTCTTTAAAATTCGAGTATTAATAATAACATACATCATCTAATCTAAATGTAAGCAGAGCCTATAGTAAAGGTAACTAACATTTTGTTAGAAATACTTAATTAATTTATTGCATAAATAAATAATAACACACATAGAAAAAATCAACACCAATACAAACAACCATTTTCCCGAATACAGTGTTTATTTACATATGCGTAGAATCGAACCCGCAATCATCGGAAGTAGGGCGATATGTAAAACCGATAGACTTCCGAGACCGTCTAATCTCTAGAGTAGCTCGATACATTTTAATGATGGTAAACGTCATGATAAATTATCTCAGCTCACAACTACAGCTGTTTCAAGTCCTTGAATATAAAATAACATCACCACAGATTAATTCGCCAATACAAATATCTCGAACCTTGACCAATTACATCGATTCTTACATTTAGGTCAGAGTTCAAAACGATTTATATTCATTTACTTGACCAATTTGACATTATGCGATATTAAACACCTGTAATAGGCTGTTAATATAATATATGTAGGTAAAAGTAGTATTAGTATTAAGTTTAGTAATATATGTAGAAATTTTTTAATTTTTTTCTTAAAAGCACTTTAAAGGTTGATATATTGAGGATAAAAGTACATTTTAACAATGAAACGTTTTTACAGGTATTAGATATGAAAGAAATTTTCAATTTAAAGAACAATATGGAATGGAACACTAGTATGTAAATATATATATATATACATAACTATAACTAGACTAAAAACAAAAGTTTCAACGTTTCATAAACAAAAACCAAAATTTCTAAATAATTTTCGCCCACATATGACCTTTTAACACAGTTCTTAATTTGAAAACCAATGTCATCTGCACATATTACACAATGAATTAATAAAAAATATTTCTTTCCGTAGTTTCGAGACAGAAAACAAGATTCGAGCTGAAGAGAAGGCTGTTTTGAAGAACCCTAACACGATTGACGAGGGTATAGCTTCAAAAGGCTTCTACGAATACATCGGACCTGACGGTTTCATGTACAGAGTGGAGTATACTGCTGACGAAAATGGATTCCGTCCAAAAGTGAAGAGGCTAGAGACGCAATACTCTGGGAAATGGGTTTTAGAGAAGGTCAATTAGAAATATAAGCCACCATCATCCTCATTAAAGCAGTATTTTTCAAGTAGTCGATATGTCTTCAGAATCAAGTTTGGCTACCAATAAGTACAACTTCCATTACATGGATGCAAATTATTATTTTATGATACACAGTAATATTTTTTATTTTTGATATTACAAAAATGCGTTTAATGGTTCTGAGTTAGAAAGTTTAGATGTAACATTGATCATTAAGAAACAAAAATGTGTCGGCTTAGATAATTTCTAATTTATGTTATAGAGTTAAGAATTTAGATACTTATTTATGAAATGTGATAATAAATTTATATTTTGAAATATTTTGTTTAGTATTAAATCAACATCTGACGCAGAATTATAACCTATACTAATATAAATTAAGCACTTAGTTAAATGAACGTAAGTATATTATTCACTGAGAGAAAGTGACCGTTGACTAATGAGTATAACATTTGAGTCTTCAAATTACATGATTAATTGAAGATAGTATAAATAGCACAATAACATCATCTATATTGCATTAACATTATTGGTAACAATTTTGTATTTGAGAGAACATAAACATAGTATTTGAGTATTAAATACTAAAACCAACTAATGTTATGCGTTATGATATATGAATATTAACAAATTCGTAATCATTAACCTCTAAGGAATTCATAAAGATCATCTAGTTGTTGATTTATTACACCAGTTTAACTTGCATACAAACATATTAATAACGTTAAAATGACTTGAATTTTATTTCCTAAAAAGTAAAAAAGTCGAATAGTTATATATAACTAACATGGCCGTAATACAAGATGTCAATTTCAAGTAACTATAACCTCCTTTAACTAATAATTATAATAGTATTTGTTTGATTACGTTGTAAAAATAATGAAAAGTAAGTGCAGATACTACTGGACCAGTTATTTCCAGTATAACCGTTAATCTTAGGAGATAGTAGTAGATATTATACAATAATACGTATGAGAATACATACTCGTATAATAAAATGTTGGGAAAGATGAACCTAATTACAATAATACCCATTACAAAAATACCATAGTTCATTCAGAATTAAGTAGTAGCTTATTAATTAAATTAGGTACTGTATTGTATTTTAAAAGGGTATAAAATAACGAATCACTATATATAAATTGGATAGACAGTGAAAATTTTGAAAAAAAAACTAATTAGACATGTGATATATGAGGTTTATATTAGGTACTTATGTCATTGTATTGTGTGTATTTTAGGTTTTCTCTTGTCAGAGAAATCCATTATCCATTCATCAATCTTCATGTCAGGTCTTGTATAGGATAGATATAGAAATCTAAGTGCTGTAGGTCTCCCAGGGATACTATTGACAGACCTTGATTTTTTTTAGGTGGGAAATGACATTCACTAGAGCGACTCATATTTCTGACTCGAATTAATTAAAATTTGTACCACCTAGATTTAAACTCACGACCTTTTGATTTTACAAATTGGGCAATAAACCACTATGACTGCTTTACCATTCTCGGTAAATATAGATTTTATCACTTAAAAGTTAAAAGTTCTAAATTCAAACGATTATGCCAATTATGTTTTATTACAAGAAAATCTTCATAACTTTCTAGTAGTTATTTAAATATTACAAGCAAGGTTTAAATACAAAAGATATATGAATATCAGGCAAAATAAGTACTTCTGTATTTTTATTTATTTATTTATTTATTTATATTTATTTATATTTAAATACTTTCAATTAATGATATATATACATATACGCACAACTCATACAACCCCATCTAGGTCCAATCTAAGTAGAGCTTGTATTATGATTGGTTACTACGCAACGGATAAATAATTTAAATGTATTTTTCTAAATTATACATTTAATGCAAAGCTAAACACCCAGATTAATACAAAATATACTATTAAATTTGTTTAGTATGAGACCTGAATCTCCCGCAATCGGAAAGTAAGATAGTGTAATCACCCGCTAAACTACCACGATAACAAATATGCAATATCGAAAATAATGTCTTTTGTAATTACGTTAGGTATTTCATGTGTGCATTTGCATATTTGTATACTCGTATTATAAATATTCATATTTATAATCAAAATAACTGGAATTGTTGTAATCTTCGTACTACATGCACAATGTAAGGTAACACGCTTGTGTTGTATTACGATAATATTAAATCTAACTAATGTGTCGATCGAGGTACTTAACTGTGAATTACAACTATGTGATTTTTTCAATGAGCAAAGTAACTTGCTTGATGTATAATATTGCTTCGATGCTAAAGAGTAAGCCATGTTAAGATCAGTAAGCGAATTGATTTATTTCATTTTAGCATCAATTGACTTTTTTATAATTAGTCATACCTATCTCTTTAACATAAAAACATGCTAGCATACTTACCTACTGAAAAGAATGTAAAGTATTCAATGTTTATTGAGTATAAAATTTTTACGTCTTTTTAATTACATCTGTCACAACTACTTAGTAGCCGTACAAAGAATGCCGTTTTTTTTTCAAATTTTATTACTAAAGTTTTTTTATATTATCTGAGACGGCATCATTATCTCGGATAGCTGGTGGAGGAGCCTGGGGATACATCGATATCGAGTACAGCTGATATAAGACAGCCCGTTTTGATTTATCACGGTTCATTACTTGTAGTAATGACATCTTATTTAGCTTCGTACGATGATTGGTAATCTCCAGAAATGGAGTATTTTTAAATAGATTTTACGAAATAATATTTCTATTATTCTATACTTCATATCAAGTGGGTAGGTATATTAAGGGTATTTAATTCTTATATTCTTGTGTTTGATGATGATATGGTATTCTAGAATACATGATGATGTTTACATTATGTATGGTAAGCATTGTATTAATATCTTGAGTTTTTTTTAATGGATGTTAATGGAATGGCGATGGAATTGTGCACCCGCCTACTCTAATGGCTTACACTGACGCCGCACCAGTGGCAGATGATAGGACGAGAATAAAGTCAGGGCAAAGCAGTTAGCTCATCATGACGGTTTCATGTTTTCCAGAACAGACCACGTGAAGGTCCATCTTATCCCTCCCATCTGTCTTGTTGAATTATAATACTTTTGTTTCTAGAGCACTCATTGAAAGCTGTCTCATAAACCGTTGTAAAAGTACACATGGAGGATATCGAACATTCCCTTTGTGCTTATATTATTTTATGCCCATATTCATATATCTCAGTCAATAACAATTTAGAACATTCTCTAACCACAGACGCTAAAGTCGGTCTTAAATATTGGTTTATCTTACTGAAGATGTACATTTCCTTGCGCTGAACTTCATTTTGCCGATATAAAAACTGATGAATTAAATTTTACTCATTAGATAATAGTCAGGTCAAAACACATTTTTTAATTATATATTTCACGAAATCTATTCGTAACCATATGTATGCCGGCGTCCTCCTTAAAATATGGTCGAAAGCAATGATGGCTTGCTCATCCGTCATACTCGTGAACGGGTGCTGCTTGTAGGGACTGGTCTGCTCTTATCACTACGACTGATTTAATCTTATTATGTTTTTATATTTGAGCCTAAATAAATTAGTGCTGATTGGTAGTTTGTATTCACACGTTTCAACTTGTAAAATGTGAACTTACAAGGTTTGTTTAAAAGAGCAACACACAAGTTTATTTATCACTACGACTGATTTAATGATTTCATATTCTATTCTATTCGATTAATTGTGATATAAATTTTAATATAACACTTTTTAAAGTGTAAGTTTTGAAAGTAAAAGACGTCACTTTCGCCAAAATACTATCAAGGTAGGTAGCTATTTATTTATTTTTATTACACAAAAATAAGGACGCAAGAAGGTACTGTTTTTTGATCTGATAAAACATCGATGCATCTCTCCAATTTCAATAAAAATATCAAGAATGCGCATCGCTAAAAATAAACGAGTCCAAGGAGCAAAAGGTCGTAAAGTGATGCGTGTTATGTGCTGGTAAGAAATTTGGCGCAATCGTATTGGTCCCATACAAGGGTTACCAGCTTATTTTCACGGTGTCTGAATCGAATTTTAATGAATTTGAACCAACGAAGATGTAGGGTTAACTACCTCCGATACATGAAATTTTATTATAATAATTTCAAAATTGTTGAAAAATGTGGCGTCTCTCGTTTAGTTTTTTTAAGTAAACTATATTTCTATTGAATATTTTTTTGTAGTTGGAATTTAGTAGGTGCCTAGTTTTATTAACATAGTTCACTATGTTGTAATGTAATACAACAAAGTGCCAATAATTATATGAGTGCAACCAAATTGTTGTTAAAGTAACGTTAAATGGCTTACATTTGCCTGAAAATAAAATAATTTAGTACCTAGATTTTATACATAATTATTATAAGTTATATAAAATATAATAGGATATATTTCTTAATACAGACTTAACTAACTTTGGCATCTTAATTTAAAATTAATTTGCGGTGACTATATACTCATGAATAGAAATTTAAGAATACTACGAAGTTACGTCACTGTTAATTATTGGGCATAATTGCATATATATATATATATATATATATGGAAGCTGTTAGTGGAAGAATAAATCGGTGAAACATTAAGTTTATTCTAGTGCCTTGCTATTTCAACTGTAAACTACATAATTCAGAGTCATTTTTCCTTATTTATTTTGACTTTGAGTATATACATTGGCAGCCCTGCTTAGGACTGTGGAGGCTTTTATAGAGGACGATGACCGAGAGCTCTGCCAACTGGCCGGCGCCACTTTGCCCGACGCACTGCGATGTCGGCTGCTGCAGTGCGCACTCTTGCTTTATCTTGCCAGAGTTCCTTAACGAAATACTACGCAACAGCCAAGTAGATCCTGTCCGTTGTTCCACTTCCTATTCTTTATGTGGGGTAATGTATTTTTGGCACAATCCCGTATCATTTCTGGAGTAAAGTCAAATGATTTCAGAACAATATTTATATCAATGTATGTCATCTTTACACGAAATTTTTATATACATATGTAAGAGGCGGAACTCGTTTTGTTTGTTTATAAGGTTTCATGTAAAGACGACTGGAGGAATTAATATGACTTTTGGACAGAACAGCTGAAAATGCTTTATTTATTTTTGTCGTATGTTTATAAATGGCATCTACAATTGTAGAGAGAAGACACGCTGAAGAATACGCGAGCACCACTTTTGTATAATATATGTATAAGAATATAATTTAATTATATTTTTGACACGAATAAAATAAAAAAAATACCGTGATTTATTTTAAAAATTAAT